CTTTTTCCTCTCTCTCGCTCTGATTAGAAATTGTTTATTCAGATTTCTGTTAAGCAAATGGATTAATAAAATAACTCATTTATGCAGACAGTGTGGAGCAGGAGACATTGGGTCGCCCTCCCCCCCCCATAAAAAAAAAACCAACCTGCCATGAAGAAGAAACTTCCCTAGCATTCCTTAAGTACTTTGATTCAGGTAATCATTTAATTGCAAATATAAAAGCAGCAGGGCAAACCCTTTGCATTTCTAACCAGTGCCAGGCGGTGATGATGGTGGGAGTGGGAATACGCCATTCTGGAAATGCTTCTTTAAAATTTAAATTTTATGGCTCTTTTTTTCCCCCTCCGCTCTGATGCCGCCGGTGATCTTGGAGAGCACAGCTGGCGCGTTTACAACCGTGTCCCACTAGAAAGATTAGCATTTAAAAAAAAAACTTTTGCTGCTTCGGTTTGCTTTTTTGTTCCTCCTCGTGTTCCTTCTCCTTGCAGCTTTCCACAAAACAGTGCCAAAGTCTGACTCTCTTTTCTATAGAACAGCGTTTCTCAACCTGGGAGTCAGGACCCCTAGGAGTGTTGCGAAGGGATGTCAGAGGGGTCACTAAGGACAATCGGAAAATACCTGGGGGTTCTGTGTGTGAAGTTGCTGGTCTCTCAGCCAAGGGGAGAGCTGTTTCTGAGACTCCAAGTGAGGAGGGGAGAGCAGGCGTGCTCGACTCATAGCGGAGTGGTGCGCATGTGCGGGTGAGGGAGAGCATGCAAGGTTGGAGGGAGGCTTGCGCCAAGCATGGGGGTTCTGTGTGGGAAGTTTGTCCTAATTTTATCATTGGTGGGGCTCAGAATGCTCTTTGATTGTAGGTGAACTATACATCCCAGCAACTATAGTTTCCAAATGTCAAGGTCTATTTTCCCCAAACTCCACCAGTGTTCACATTTGGGCATATTGAATATTTGTGGCAAGTTTGGTCCAGATCTATCATTGTTTGAGTCCACGGTGCTCTCTGGATGTAGGTGAACTACAACTCCAAAACCCAAGGTCAATGCCCATCAAACCCTTCCAGTATTTTCTGTGGGTCATGGGAGTTCTGAGTGCTAAGTTTGGTTCAGTCTCATCATTGGTGGAATTCAGAATGCTCTTTGATTGTAGGTGAACAATAAATCCCAGCAACTACAATTACCAAATGACAAAATCAACCCCCCACCCCACCAGTATTCAAATTTGGGTGTATCGGGTATTTGTGCCAAATTTGGTCCAGTGAATGAAAATACATCCTGCATATCATATATTTGCATGACGATTAATAACAGCAGCAAAATTACAGTTGTGAAATAGTGATGAAAATAATGTTATGGCTGGGGGTCACCACAACATTTATTTATTTATTTGTTTATTTAAAACATTTATATTCCGCCCTTCTCAACTCGAAGGGGACTTAGGGTGGAGCACAGCATATATACGGCAAACATTCAATGCTGGGACACGAATTCATATACGCATACATAAACATTAAAAACATTTATCTCAATATTAAAACACACAATTTAAAATATGATAGCCATGTATAAATATGTGAGAGGAAGCCACAGGGAGGAGGGAGCAAGCTTGTCTTCTGCTGCCCTGGAGACTAGGACGTGGAACAATGGCTTCAAACTACAAGAAATGAAATTCCATCTGAACATTAGGAAGAACTTCCTGACTGTGAGAGCCGTTCAGCAGTGGAACTCTCTGCCCCGGAGTGTGGTGCCTGTTATAACAGACATAAGACAAAACATCAAAAAAAAAGCGTCAAATCTAATTGGCCTGGTAATCTTTCCTATTGCTGCTTTATTGTCCTGTCCCGAAGGCTTGGTCCCAAAGCCAAATTTTTACCACCCTTCTAAAGGACAGGAGGGAGGGGGCCGATCTGATCTCACCAGGAAGGGAGTTTCATAGCCGGGGGGTAATCACCAAGAAGGCCATGTCCCTACCAATTGCGCCTGTGACAATGGCGGGACAGAAAGCAGGGCCTCCCCAGAGGATCTTAATCTCCGCGATGGTTCATAGGGGGAGATGCGTTCCGACAGGTAAATTGGGCCGGAGCCATTTAGGGCTTTGTAGGCCAAAGCCAGCATTTTGAATTGTGCCCAGAAGCAAACTGGCAGCCAGTGGAGCTGGCAATACATGAGGAACTGCATTAAGGGGTCGCGGCACTTGGAAGGTTGAGAACCACTGCCCTAAGAAGAGTAGCTTAGGGAGCTGTTGTTGTTGTTGTTATGTTTATTTATACCCCTCTTTTTCTCTCCACAAGGAGACAGGTACAGAGATTCCAGCTAAACATTAGGAAGAACTTCCTGATGCTCAGCGCTGTTCTTCTTTGAAGGTTTTTAAGCATAGGCTGGATGGCCATCTATCAGGAGGGCTTCGGTTGTGCCTTCCCGTCTAACAGAAGGGGGTTGGACTGGATGGCCCTTGAGGTCTCTTCTAACTCTAAGGTCCTGGGTCAAAAATATGACAGTTGTTTCGTGGGATCCACCAAATGCCATTTAGTCCATGCCCCTCGCAAGCACTTGCCACACTTAGGCCTAAGGGCCAGCTTATCCTCGAAATGACCCTTTAAATGCTCAATGTCTGTTTCAGGAATGGAGAAATCATCTCTTCTCCGCTGGCCCACCTTGCCTGCCTGCTAATAGAGAGGTAAAAAGGGGGGAAGCATTGCAAATATGCATTTTTATAATCACCCGGATTTATCCCTTCAGAGGGTTTATTACAAGCTTTTTATTTCCATGCGTGGCAAATGTAATCTTATCTGGCTCGCCGGCTGGCCCTGCGCTCGGCTCGCTTGGATCCGGAAAGCTATCAAACGCCAGCCTTCCAGGGCAACGCCGCGCCTGCATGTTAAAGTTCCTCGAACGCATTAAAAGCAGCTGAAACGTGCATTAAAATATGGCACCGGGAGAATAGGGTATCTCTGCAATTAGCCATCTGATGCTTTCAGCAGCTGCTTGGAAGTTGGATGCGGCGCGGCAACAGAAAGGAGACCTTGGAGATTTTCACAAGAAGAAAGGAGAGGAAGCTTTGCTAGTCAGTGGAAACAACTTACATTTATATGGAGGGGGTATGTTAACATCTATGCTCGCTTTATTAGAGTGCAATAGGTGGACAGGTGTCACCCAGATGCTTCTCTTATCCTGCATTTCAACACAGTTCGATTCTAGCTGATAAGGTGCCAAAGTCGTCCGCTTGCTCTCTGGGCACCAAACCAGCACCTTTGTGAGCTCACCAAGCGAAATCCTATTAAGATAACGTCACCGGCTTTGTGTTTTTACTCTTTGCAAGCTGGCAGCGGAGTCGAGAAATGGCACAACGGGGAGGCGCCTGATAAGGGAGACGGTTGAGCCTCTGCCAGGATTCCAAGGAATTTGGAGCCCATCCAATTTGGAGCGTGTGATTCACAGCAGCGGAGAGTGTCCCCCCTTTGCTCTCTCTCTGAGTGCATCGGAGAACTCTCATCCACCTGGATGGGAATTAACACCGCCACCTGCACCACCATTAGCCCAAAAGATGCAATATTTTGCATTATTTCATAGAAACCTAGAGTTGGAAGGGACCCCCAGAGTCCATCCAGACCAACCTCATCCCGCCAGGAAGGAAGACACAATCATATTGGGTTGTTAGCTGCTGCATCACAGTGTTGACATATGTTTATCTCGTGACAGAAATCTAGAGTTGGGAGGAACCCCCAGAGTCCATCCAGACCAACCTCATCCCATCAGGAAGGAAGACTCAATCATATTGTGTTGTTAGCTGCTGCATCACAATGTTGACATGTGCTTATCTTGTGATAGAAACCTAAAGTTGGAAGGGACCCCCAGAGCCCATCCAGTCTAACCCCATTATTCCAGGAAGGAAGACACAATCACATTGGCTTTTTAAGCTGCTGCATCACACTGTTGGTTCATGTTTAGCTTATGGAAAAAGCACAGAGTTGGAAGAGACCCCCAGAGCCATCCAGTCCAACCCCAGGCAGGATGTCAAATGGCCACCCATCCTCTGTTTCAAGATCTACAGAGAAGGAGACATCTGAATAGAAAGAAATCCTGATCTTTCATAGATGCATAGAATCCTAGAGTTCAAAGGGACCCCCAAGGGTCTTCCAGTCCAACCTTATTTTGTCATAAAAGATAACACAAATGATAATAATAATAACAAAATAATATTTTATAATAATAATTTTACAAAGCCAATTACATTAGCTTTTTAAATTTTTAATTACAAAAATGTGAGTCAAGCACTAAAAGGGTTAAATGGATGCAACGACTCAGCAAAAGCTTTAGTTCTATATAAGCAGGTTTACCTGTAGCTTAGTAGCCTCAGTCTGAGAGGCCTCAGTGCAAGAAAGGCCTCAGTGTGAGAGAAGGCCTCAGTGTTAGTTCGCCTCAGTGTGAGAGAGGCATCAGTCTGAGGTATCCCTCAGTATGAGAGAAGGCCTCAGTGTTAGTTTGCGTCAGTGTGAAACAGGCCTCAGTGTGAGAAGGCCTCATCTGTGGAGTTCCACTATGAAGGCTGCTGTGTGTAAAGCTACTGTGGAAAGCTCTTGTGTAAGTTCAGTGTGAGAGGAAGCTTTGTGAGAGTGAAGCTGTTTATCTGTGTGAGAAAGAAGCCCAACGTGGAGGCAAAGAAGGAAGTGTAAAGAACTTTCTTTGTGTTATGGAAAACTCGTTGTAAAAAGTGCAACCATATTATTTGCTATAAAGAAAAGCCTCCTTTGGAAGAGATAACATTGATCTGTGTGTTTTGTTCTTTTTATGATTTTGGGCTACTGATGCTGGGTCATTCTGCTGCTAATAAGTTACTCTGCTGTACATTTTTGAAGAGGGTCTTTTGTTAATAAGCCCACCCACTCAACAGTCTGCACCTTTCCCCAGCTTGCTGTGTATATTTTGTATCTTTTAGGGTGCTGGAAGATCAGTGCAGAGAACGGTTGTGCTGTTGGGTTACGTGGCAGTTCTTCTTTTTCCTCCCAGGTGACTCCCGGTTTGGAGAACAAAGAAGGGGAGCTCTTTGTGAAGGGGCCGACAGTGTTTCGGGAATACTGGAACAAACCCACAGAGACCAAGGAGGCTTTTACCCCTGATGGCTGGTTCAAAACAGGTATCTGCTCCAGGTTGACAGTGGAACTGCTTTTTTTGTTTATACTGGTTGAGCATCCCTTATCCAAAATATGGAAATACTCCAAAATCTGAAATATGGGTGGCTAGGAAAGTGACACATTTCTTTTCATATAGTCGTATAATCCCAGAGCTGGAAGAGACTCCAAGAGTCCATGTAGGAAGACACAATCCAAGTCCTCCCAACAGATGGCCATCCAGTCTCTGTTTCAAAACTTCCAGGGAAGGAGACTCCACTTGATGCTTGAATGTACTCAAACTTTCCTCTGTGCACAAAATTATGGAAAATATTGTACATGAAATGACCTTTACGTTAGGTATCTCTGAAACTTGCATTTGGGGTTTAGACTCGAGTCCCATCACCCATGACATCTCGTTATGTACAATTCTAAAATACAGGTATTCCAAAATATCCCAATATTTCAGATTTATTTATTTATCTATCATGTCAGAAGCAAATTGAGGTTACAGTTATAATTTAAAAACACAAAGTTAAAAACTTGGCATTATGCTAAATGTCCTTTGACTGGTAGCTGCCCACTTGGAGTGCCTCTGGTGTGGCTATGAGAAGGTTCTCCATTGTGCACGTGGCACAGTTTAGGCTGCTTTGTAGTAGGTGGTCTGTGGTTTGCTCTTCTCCACACTCACATGACTTGGACTCCACTTTGTGGCCGCATTTCTTAAGGTTGGCTCTGCATCTTGTGGTGCCAGAGTACAGCCTGTTCAGTGCCTTCTAGGTCATCCACTCTTCTGTGTGCCCAGGAAGGAGTCTTTCATCTGGTATCAGCCATTGATTGAGGTTCTGGGTTGTACCCTGCCACTTTTGGACTCTCGCTTGCTGATGTGTTCCAGCAAATATCTCTGTAGATATTAGGAAGCTGTTTCTTGATTTAAGGCATTGGCATGCTGGCTAATATCTGAACAGGGGATGGGACGGAGACAGGGCCATAGCCAGAAAAAAAATCGGGGGGGGGTTGAAAATTTTGTGGGGGGGGGGTTGAAACCTGCCTCCTAGCTCACGCTGAAGCAAAGAGCACAGCAGGGACAGAGCAGCCTTCAATAGCCTGCAGCTCCGCCCCTGTCAACCACCTCCACCAAGTCTGGCCTCCTTAATGAGAGCATTCAACACCCCCCCCCCAACTTGGTTGCTTCACTACATCGGCTATTGCTGCAAGTAATGACAGTGTGAATAAATTGTCAATATTTGCTTGAGATAGTGCTTGCAGGTCTGGAGGGACTCTTAATTTTTTGCATCTCATAGACTTAGCATGGGGATTTGGTTAACCAGTTAAAATTCATGAGTAAACCAGGTTTTTTTAACCTGAAAAATTTGGGGGGGGGTTGAACCCACCCCCCCCCCCCCCGGACCGGCTACAGGCCTGGATGGAGATGTCACTGCCTTGGTCCTTTCATTACTGGCTGCTTCTTCCCGACAGATGTCAGGTGGTGCAATACCGGCTAAACAATATAATTTCTCTAGTGGTGTTGGGTGTAGACCTCCTGTGATAACGCGTCATGTCTCATTAAAAGCCACATCCACTGTTTTGATATGGTGAGATGTATTCCTCACTGGGCATATTCAGCAGCAGAGTACCAAAGCGCAAGGGCAGATGTCTTCACTGTATCTGGTTGTGATCCCCAGGTTGTGCCAGTCAGCTTTTGTACAATATTATTTCTAGCGCCCACTCTTTGCTCAATATTCAAGCAGTGCTTCTTATAAGTCAGAACACGATCCAAAGTGACTCCCAGGTATGTTGGTGTGCTGCAGTGCTTCAATGGTATTCCTTCCCAGGTCATCCTCAGAGCTCGAGATGCTTGTCTGTTCTCAAGGTGAAAAGCACACATCTGCATTTTCAGTGGATTAGGAATTAGGTGGTTTTCCTGTAACAGGCAGTAAGAGCATCTAAAGCTTCAGAGAGTTTTTGTTCAACCATTTCAAAGCTCCCTGCTTGAGTGGTGATGACATGATCATCAGCATAGATGAAACTCTCTGTCCCTTCTGGCAGTGGCCGATCATTTGTGTAAATGTTAAACATGGAAGGAGCAAGCACACTCCTGTGAGGCAGGCCGTTCTGTTTTCGCCATCTGCTTCTCTGGCCCTGAAACTCAACAAAGAAGCTCCTGTTTTGTACTGATTTCTTATGAAGCGGATGAGGTGGTACTCCTTTGTTATGTTATAATTTTTTTCTCAAGAGAAAGTAATTATTTACAGTATCATATGCTGCTGACAGGTCTATGAAGACAGCTCCTGTAATCTGCTGCCTTTCAAAACAATCTTCTATGTGCTGAATATTTCAGATAATCGATACTCAGTTTGTACATTTCAGTTGGCTATGACATTCTGGATGCCAAAATCTCAAGCCAAGGATTAGAACACAGGTCCTAGTGGGACTCTCCATGGCCTTTGCTTATCAGAGAGAAATGGTTGCATTTGCTGATGTGATTCATAGGATTTTTAGGGTTGTTTTGTCCATCATCGGAGCTCTTCTCTAATAAAATGGTTTTATGGTATCCAGAGGTCTTCCAATGAAGCGAAGACTTAAACTAGAGGTTTGCACGACTCCAAAAATGTGCTTAGTTTGTATTTACGAAATTTGTTTGACCCCTCGTTTTGATTCTAAAGTGTTTGGAAAAAATTGTAAGGAGTCCATGTTGCATCTGTTACGAAGTTATGAAAATTTTCAAAAATGTGTGGTGGGATATAGAGTCATGTTTGAAAGCCACTTAACAGATAAACAGATCTTTCCGTCGTTCTTGGTGGTGGGCTTTGGACTGCAATTCCCAGAATCCCCCAGCCAGGGTTGGAATCCAAGCCTTGCAAGATCTCTCTGCCTTGACATTGGATCGGATAAAGGCAGTCCCTTCTGAGAATAGGAATGCAACAAGACCCATTATGCTCCCCTAAGCCTATTGACCCAATGCTGTTTGCTTCCATTACCATTTAATAGCCGCTGTGAGCTATTTGGATTAGTCCGCCTGTGTACACACATAGGGCCATGATCTTTGCTCAGGCCTCAATGTCATTAATCTGGATGACAAAACAAGCGTGAATGTCCAGTTAATTTCATGGCCTTCTCCTCATGCTCCATCCCACTGCAGAATAGGACTCTGATCTGGCTGCTTGTAGGATTTCATAGAATTATGGAATCTAAGAGGAGTTGGAAGGGACCCCCCAGGGGCCATCTAGTCCAGCCCTATTATTATTATTATTATTATTATTATTATTATTATTATTATTATTATTATTGTTATTAACATCTAGCCCAACCTTAAGGAGCCCCCGGTGGCACAATGGGTTAAACCCTTGTGCCGGCAGGACTGCTGACCGAAAGATCAGCGGTTTGAATCCGGGGAGTGGGGTGAGCTCCCATCTGTCAGCTCCAGCTCCTCATGTGGGGACATGAGAGAAGCCGCCCATAGGATGGTAAAACATCTGGGCATCTCCTGGGCAAGTTCCTTGCAGATGGCCAATACTCTGACACCAGAAACAACCTGCAATTTCTCAAGTTGCTCCTGACACAAAAAAACCCCAACCTTATTATTATTATTATTATTATTATTATTATTATTATTATTATTTGAAACACAACAGGATAAGTCCACAGCAGACACTCTGCTGGCTGTTGTATTGGATCACACGTTGGACACTTCCCAAGTGTCTAGGACTGTGTGATGTATCGGAAAATAATGTGTGCAGGTTGTTGTTGTTGTTGTTGTTGTTGCTGTTGTTGTTGTTGTTGTTGTTGTTGTTGTTATTGTTATTATTATTATTATTATTATATTAACATCTGGCCCAATCCTATTATTATTAATTTCTAGTCCAACCCTATTATTATTTATTATTATTATTAACATCTGACCTCACAACCTCTGAGAATGCCTGCCGTAGATTCAGGAAAAATGTCAGGAGTGAATGCTTCTCGAACATGGCCATACAGCCCGAAAAACCTACAACAACCCAGTGATTCCAGCTATGAAAGCCTTCGACAATGCAAGATGTTATAGTGTGATCCATAACCTCTTTTGCATCTCAATCAAGACATACAGCTGTGTCATAAATAATTATAATATAAAATAGTAATAATTTGAACACTGGAATGCTGTGTAAATGCATGTGGATCTGTGCAAGTCACTCCCTCTCAATCTTTCTGCTGACCTTTCCAAGGCCTTTGTCTATATTTGCTTCTCCATTTTAAAGGTAAAATGAAAGTTGTAGCCAGGTACAATTTTCCCACTTCTACAGTTTTGGGATAATTTGGTGTGGGATTTTTTTTTAATGATGATTATTATTAATGAACTTTTTACACACTGAAAAAAACCCCCAACCCACAACCCGACCCTCCTGATGAATATTTCAGCTGCAAAGGAATCGCGCGCATTAATTATTGTAAAGAGATGTCTTTAGGAGAAAATGATTCCGAGATTCGGTTTAATGCCATTGTAATGCGCGGCAAACAGGAAGGGAGGATGTGTGTTTAATTGGCTCTCGGGGGTCCGGCCGGGAAGATGGCATGCCTTTGTCACAGACCATTAGCGATACAGGCGGCATAATGAGAAAGTACAATCAGCGCACAGCTGCCGGCTCCGGAGGGGAGAGCAGGATATTAAATGGAAATCGGGAGAAATTAAAGTTAACCCTTTCGCAGGACAGAAACTGTGAACTTCCAAGCTTGGAAGATGCCGGAGCTTGGGAAGGTGCCATCGTTGCTTCTCCTTTCTTAGGGTGCATCTACACTGTGGAATTAATGCAGTTTGACACCACTTTAACTGTTATGGAATCCTGGCAGCTGTAGTTTTGCATGGTCTTGAACCTCCTCTACTAAAGAGTGCAAACTCCAACTTCTAGGGCTCCTTAGTTGTGACCCTGCATCTACACTGTAGAATTAATGTAGTTTGATACCACTTGCACTGCCATGGGAGTTGTAGTTCTGCAAGGTCTTGAGCCTCTTCTCCCAAAGAGTGTAAACTCCAGCTTCTAGGGCT